ATTTCAACAAAAAGATTATATTCTTTTTAGTTGTGGAGCACAAATTTCAGCGTTATTTTTGCGTAAAAAAGTAATGCAGCACATTAGTTCCTTTGGGTTTGTTTGAATTTTTAGAATAATAATTAAATTCTTGAAGAAAAATAGAGTTCTGAAAATGTTGGATNNNGAGCACAGGAAACACGGGGACTCGGGGAAGAGGGTGAGCGATCGTAAAAAGTTTTTTCTACTCTCTAACCAAACACTAGAAAATATTTTCCGGAAAAAATTTTCCACTCACCAACCAAACAAGAGAAAAATAAGTGATAAAACCACTCATTTTCCATGAAAAATATTTTCCTTCGTACCAAACACACCTATATGTTCTGTTTTTCCTTTTTCTGAAAGTAAGAAACTAAGAATGGAACTCACACCTATTATATGAAAGACTTCCACCCATACCTTGAATTCAGCATTAACTTTCTTGTTTTTATTAATAGATTTTCCTTTTGCAGATGGCTTTTTCGAAAGTTAATCCATTAATCCACTTTGGACTATGCAATGCAACAAGATCAAGTCCAGCAGTAAAATTCTTCGCACCTCAAAGTGTGGAATCTGAACTAAGATATGCTGCAAGAGAGTATTTCCAGAGGGATGATGGAATGCAAGTGGATTTGGCCAAGAGAACTGTCTACCTTAACCGAATGATCAAGTGGTAAAGTTCTTAACTGCAGAATCCTCTAATTAGTCTTGCATCTGTTACCTTTGTAACTTGATATTATGTTTGGCGAACTAGTTCAAAAGTCTTATGTACCACATATTCCTTTTGCAGGTACAGTGCTGATTTTGGACAGGAAAAGGACATTCTAAAGTGGATTACAGGTTATCTAGATGCCACTAAAGCAGGTCTTTTGACACATCTTATGGGTGATGGTGGCCCTGTTAATGTTGTTTATCAGAGTTTTGATTGGTCTTTAAATGCTTGACCAAACTGTTTTCTGCTATAGGGAAATTCTAGGGAGCACTTTATTTCTTTTTTCTTATCAACCCCGCTTCTTAATTTGTTTTAGTGTTCATCTCTCACAAAGTGGGGCATTGTTTTCATTGTCCTCTTGGTAGGATAGTTGAAAATTTGTGTATAGAACAAACTTGTTATGGATTGAGAGGTTTCGACTCGGAGAAAAAGAGGACCCTTTGTAAGCACATAACTTTCCTCTCTTGTCGTCCATCGCTATTCAACGATAAATGGTGTAAGTGCAAAACTGGAGTCCAAATCCGTGTACGTTCCTTTAATTTGAGGCAAAGGAAAAGAATCTTCTACTCCGGAAATGAAGAATCTATCTATATAGAATAACAAAAGCAAAACTATGTTAGGCTGCCAAGTGTAATATCCACAATTCTAACACATGTCAAAAATTAGGACAACTCTCCAAGATAGTTGGAGTTTCAAATTAAAACTACAAATCAAGAAAATAAACTTAAATTTATCTAATTTCAAAAACAGAATTCCTCCTCTTTTTTGGTTGGCTGTTTTTAAGAAAAATAAAATCCTCCCACGTTGTCAGTTTTTTAATCAATAACTACCCACTAAAATTTACAATTATTTTTTTATTAATAAAAGTGAGAAAAAAGGAGGAAACTATAAAGCTTCCTGGTTATTCGCTTACTTCTCATTGAAAGAATTTTAAATTTCGTCGAATCCTCCCACAATTGAGTTTTTGCAGTTACTCTACTTATCATTATTATTACTATTATTATTATTATTATTATTATTATTATTATTATTATTATTATTATATACTATTACACTTGCCTATTAAAAATAGAATTCCTCCCCATTTTTCGGTTGGCTGTTTTTAAAAAAAAAAAATCCTCCCATGTTGGCAGTTTTTAATTAACAACTACCCACTAAAATTTGCAATTATATTTTTATTAATAAAAGTGAGAAAAAAACGAGGAAAATAGTTGCATTTTCCCCACGACTGATTGTGCTCCAAAACGTGGGGCTTCCAACCAAAAATCCCTATTTTATCTACACCTCCATAACTGATTGATTTATGCCCTTTATATTTTCAAATCCTTTTCAACTTCTTATTTTATCTATTCACTATACCAGTCTGACTAAAATTGCTTTGCACCTATGGCTACGCAACTTCATGATATCAGACAAATTTCAAGCAACTCAATGCAATGGAATCTCAAAGTTAGAATCGTTCGAATGTTGATAATCCCCGATCGATTTAAGCCATAACTACCGTATTCAATTGAGTTGGTTTTATAGGATTCAAAGGTACCGTATTCAACTTTCTCATAGTTTTAAACTTCCGCTTCTCTGAAGTATTTCTTTTTTCCGTATTCGTAAATTATATAGATAGATTGTTTCTTCCGAATTACTCAAATATTTAAGAAGTTGCTCCAATAATTTGACTTCCATATAAAGAGTTCTTTAACTCATATGGAAGCAACTATAGCATTCTGTTTTTTAACTTAAAACGTTGAAGTAAACTTTAGACAGTGATTGTACTACATAGATATATAATTCACCAATATTGTATTTTTGTACTTAATAACATCTATTTTGTTCAAAATATAAAACTCTTGCAGATATTACATACTGGTTGCCTTGCTTAGACTATCATCGGGTGAACATTCAGAAAATACATCTATATATGAAATATGTGTAGTAGAAGTATTCATCTTTTTTGTCTCTTAATGTTGGCTTCATAATTCTGCACTAATAAGGAATATGATTTTGTAGGGTGATAGTATACGTGCTTCAATCAGAAAGTATGTTGTTAAGTTTTTTAGGAACAAGATACAGGAACTTCGTTTATATCATATGAACTATTTTATTGTCGGATCAAATAATTTGAAGTTGAGGAATACGACGCACAACCTGAGGCCGACATTTACACAGAAGACATTTGTTGAGGAAACAACTGCTCCTTCATTTCATATGAACATCTTTAACTTGCGTTCTTTTGACCAACTAACAAGTCAACATGATGTCGATGAGACAGAATTATTCGGTAATTCTTCTTTTTTCTTTTTATTCTAATAGTAGGTTTTGTAAAATTATGTGACTTACTTTTATATTTATAGATGTTGTTGGTCGGGTTGTGACCTATAAAGATGTTAAGACCTACATGCGAGGAGACGACCAAAGTGTTTTTATTGATGTTATACTCTAAGATGATAAGTAAGTCATTCGCAAATAGAAACAATTCTTTACAATAAATCACCTATATTACTCTGCTAATTTTGTCGAACAGATATGGAGTGTTTTGAAACATGGATCGTTATAATATCCAATTACAATAACAAGACACTAAAGTGATCATGGATCTTTCATTTAAATTTTAAAAGCTTCTTATTTAATATTCTGCCAATTGTTCTTCGCTGTAATTTCTCACATTGTTTTTTATAATATAATTATAGAACTAGGGAGGTAAAGTTAATTTGGCTTCTCTGGTGATTGATGCTGCAAGAGCTACCATAATATTGTTTATATATTGCATCAATATTATTTTCAACAGTTTAGAAAAAATTAATATTTTTGTATTCACTCTTATATTCCATGAACTTGCATAGAGTACAGGCGGATCACTAAAGTATCAAGGTCTCTAAAATTAGATTCTAAAATTAGATTCATATCAAGGCGGAACACTAAGTTTTTTGGCAAGCCATATGCTATCGTTACAGGCATGCGTTATGTAACAAACTGAGCCATACTTTCTGTTTTGATAGGAAAGATACAATAACTTTATAAAATTTATTCTTATGTTTTATTTGTGATTATAGTTTTCATTTTAATTTGATCATTTACAAGGACGCTTGATTATCAATGATTCTCCCAACGACAACTCTATTGTAAATGTTGCTCGATGGTCTGAAGCTACTATTTGGGGCTTTCAACATAACAGTAAGTTTTTGCAACTTGGAATATATCCTTTTAGTCATAATATGTTTATAGAGTGAGTTCATTTTATTTCTTATTAATGCTTTGCTTGGCCCTAACTTCTTTACGATTTTTTAATTGGTGAAGGTTTTGAGAAAACATATTTACGAGGGACAATCCAGAACACACGTCATGGAAGAATATAATTGTTAATTTTGAGGCTATAAGAACATTATTGGACTTTAGGAAATACCTGTATGTTTCTTTATTGTGTTTCCTTATTACTTTATTATACGAATACCAATTACATTTATATGTTCCAAAAAATTATAGCATTTCCATATTCTTTTGTACCTACAGTCTTTTCCAACATATATTTTCTTATAAAAAATTATCTTTTTTATACTCCGCGCAACGCGCGAGTACGAATACTAATTACTTGAGAATAAGAGAATAAAAGATTAAAGAGAGTGGAAACTGAAAAGGGGGAGATGATGTAAAAAAAAAAATTGGCTGCTCAACTTAATAATGATTGGATTGGACTAAAAATGAACGTAAAATGATAATACAAAGAACATAAAAAAAACTGCATTTTATTCTCAATTAAATTTTTCTTTTTGTCATAGTTTATGATTTGTATGATGCAGCTTTCTGTATACAATTACTCTTATCTCCCCCAATAGTTTCCACCACTTTTAAATTTCTTTTATTCAGATCTAATGCCATGGAAGGATCTCTATAATTTCATTAAATGGTTTAAAATTCTTCTCTTGCTCTTAATTGCAATAAATATACTTTATTAACAAATATAAACTATAGCATCCGATGGTAAACAGAAAAAGTGAATGATGTTGTGGTATAAAATATAGGAAGGGCTAATAGTCATATGACTCTGAACAATTTCAGTGCCAAACAAATCGTAAAAATTGCACTGGGCGTCCTATTTGGTCGCCCACATTTAACCTATACCCATTTTTTTAAAAAGTTTTAACTTGTACCAATTTTTTAAACAACTTCAGCCCCCTTCCTCCTCCTTCTCCTCCTTCGTTTTCTTTTTCTTCTTCTTCTTTCTTCTGCTGCTGTTGGTGCTGCTATGAAACTTCAGTTCATGGGATGATTGCCATAAGTATGTTTATCAGATTATTTAAAAATAAATTATAAATAATTACATAAGTTAGTAGACAATAATTTGTGAATATTTCCACGTACGGGAAGTTTAAGGTCACACTTAGTGATTCTTTTCATGATAATTCTGTTCTTTTCACGTTTATTTATTTCCAAAATTTTATGATTTAGATACTGTTGGCAATCTGATTATTTTATAATAGTTTGATTATAACAAAACTAATGAATCCAGGACAAAAAAACCTTCAGCTTATTTAGTGCTGAAGTTTTTACAAATGAACTAAATAACTTCAGCATCTTCTGCTGAAGTTTTTGAACAAGCTTTATGACAAAACTAATGAATCCAGGACAAAAAAAATTTCAGCTTATTTAGTGCTGAATTTTTACAAATGAACTAAATAATTTCAGCATCTTCTGCTGAAGTTTTTGAAAAAGCTTATCCAGGACAAAAAAAACTTCAGCTTATTTAGTACTGAAGTTTTTATAAATGAACTAAATAACTTCAGCATCTTTTGTTGAAGTTTTTGAAAAAGCTTAATGACAAAACTAATGAATCCAGGACAAAAAAACTTCAGCTTATTTAGTGCAATTACAAACAAAAACTTCAGCAAATAGAGAACAAAACTTCAGCTACTATGCTTAAGTTCAGCAATTTACAAACAAAAACTTCAGCAAATAGAGAACAAAACTTCAGCTACTATGCTTAAGTTCAGCAATTACAAACAAAAACTTCAGCAGAATAAAACTTTAGCTACTATGCTTAAGTTAAGCAATTACAAACAAAAACTTCAGCACACTTGGTTCAGTACACTTGCTACTTCAGGGCCGTCTACTAGAATGCTGAAGTTTTGCGTGATTGCCTTTGCTACTTCAGCCCCGTATGCTAAAGTTACACGAAAAAGTGGGTACGATTGCAATTTTTTTTGCAAAGCGGGCACAAGTTAAAACGTGACTCAAAAAGCGGGCATAGATGCAAATGCACCGAACAAATGAGCAACTCTTTTCAGTCCATGGAACTGGATTGAAAGTCGAAAATGATTTGGATCAATTGTCATCTCAAAATATAAAATGCCAGAGCAAATTAACGTGGCTAGTGATGTAAAAGTTTTTGTGCTTTATGCATGTAGATGATGAACGTAATGAAAATCCTGATCATAAAGTGATCTTGGTTCATGAAGAATTTACCTCAAAAATTAATTTGATAAAGCGTAATTTGTTAGATAGTGCTCAGAATTTATTGTAAATTCAACGGCATGTTGTAATTACTTCATACGGTCCTCAAAGAAAAAAAACTGAAAAAGGAAGGCTGGAGTACATTACTAAACGCAAGTTTAGATAGGTTATTGTATTTGTAAAGTTGACACGTCAAATCATTAAGCAGTATGGTGCGATGGATAACATTTATATGTTTTTAACAAGAAGTTTTGAGTTTAAATTGTAAAAATAAAAAAAATTATATTAGCAAGAACTTCCCTTTTAATGGATACCCTACTCAACTCCGACTAGTTAGGCAAATGAGTTTCAAAAAGAGGTCATCAGACCACAATAGTTTAATGACACACAAGGCTAATATCACAACTAAAGGTTTCTTGAAATGTCGAAGTATAAGGCCAACGAGGGAGTTCATTACTCAGATGATAATTAAATTATTAAAAATTATAGAGCAAAGTTATTTTTCTTTCAATTGTAATAAGAAAGTCACTTAATTATTTTTATTGCATAATGATGATCACTCAGCTTGATTTCTTAATGGTGGAAAAAGTTATCTTGGCAGTCCACATTAACTTTTTATATTTTTTGCCACATAAAATAACTATCAGCCAAACAAAAAATAAATCCAACCCGATCCATTAAAGGTAAATCCACCCGAAATAAACTTTACTCCTAAACATATCTCTCTTCCAAAAACCCTTGTACCCATTATATGTTATAAATCTCTCCTCTTCTTCTCTCAAGTAGATGATATTATGTATATTGTAGAGTTATATATAATATATATACTGTATATTATTATGTATTATGTATACTGTATATTATTATTATTCTTATATATAATATACAATATATATAATGTTTCGTATATTGCATAATAACATATATTATTTGTATTATTAATATTGCATAGATGATGAAAGGATGAAAGAATGGAGAAATTTTCATCCGAATTTTTGCAACATATTTTTATGAAGACCCTATTTATATTGAGGATGTAGCGTGGGTATGAGATAGTGTTATAATGGTAACCTAATGTATTTATAGTAATAATTCAATAATTAATAAATTGAAAAAAATTTAGGAGCTAATTATGGGATATGTTTCAATTTCAAAACAGAATTCCCTATATTAGGAAATCTACCTTTTTTTAGAGTATATGTTTTATACATTTGTTGTAGAACATGTTATTCTATTACTAGTTGACAGGTAATATAAAACCCAAACAATCATTCCATGATCCTCATCTTCATGGGTTTAGTCAGATGCCGAGAAATTTTACTTTGTGTCTAGCACACCACGTTATACTTGTATGAGACCCTTTAAAGTATGACATTTGGACTAATGGGTCCCACTCTCACTCCTATTTTGGAGCATCTTTCTCCAATTAGTTGTCGTCTCTTTCTTCCCCGCTTCTCGTCATCTCGTGTTGATTGAAAAGCTTTATTGTCACGATCCAAAATACCCCGATCGTGATGGCGCCTATCACAGTACTAGGCAAGCCAACCAAATATTTACCACAACGAAATCTTTTATAAAAATCATTTTCTAGTATCGAATAAGTCTCATATTCGTCATATGAAATAGATAAATAAAACAGAATATGCGGAAAACCAGTACAAAATACCAACACAGCCCAACAATCCGGTGTCACTAGTCAAGAGCCTCTAAATACAACTCAAGCTGACCGAATACTACATCATAAGTCTGAAATAACAGAATAATAAGATAGGAAGGAGGAAAGCAGGGCTGCGAACGCCGTGCAGCTACCTTGCAATCTCCGGTAAAGCTCTGAGAGTGCTGGAAGCTCTCACTCTGATGCTCGGGCACCTGGATCTGCACACAAGGTGCAAGGAGTAACGTTAGTACGCCTACTCAGTAAGTAACTAAAGTAAATAAGGTCTGAGTGCAGTGACGAGCAGTTAAAAAATCATATAAGAGTGTTCAACAGAATATCAAGTCAAACTCAGCAGTTTAATAGCTAGTTATTTCGTAAAAACTTCAGTTTCAATTGAAATACCTTGCAATCATGTATTCAACATCTTTCAACAGAGGCTCAGTATAAAAGAAGAGTGAAAACAGCAAAATGTCATAAAGGGGCCCCTCGGGCAAACCTCTCAGTCACTCGTGACTCAGCTCTCGTCACATATTAGTCACACTCAACACTCCGGCTCAATAATATCTCATAACAATAATAATCATAATAATCGCTGCGGCGCGCAATCCGATCCATAGTTTATAGTCGACTACGCTCACTGGGGGTGTGCAGACTCCGGAGGGGCTCTTACAGCCCAAGCGTCATATCGCTGCGGTGCGCATCCCGATCCAATATATATATCGCTGCGGCGTGCAGCCCGATCCATATGTATATTGATGCGGCGTGCAGCCCGATCCATATATGTATATAATCCTCACCATTAGGTCTTAAACCTCTCTCAGTCATTAACCTTACGGCCACTCGGGCATATCGGTGAAAAATCAGGGAACTCACCCCAAACAGTTTTCATATATGAGAAATAGAGTGATGAAACCAGTTTTAAACAAATAACAAGTAAAACATGACTGAGGATATGCTTTCAATCAAACAGAGTGAGGAAAGTAGCAAATATACCCCTAAGGGCCTAAACAGGTCGGCACAAGGCCCCAAACACGGCGTACAGTCCAACATACAGTATCAATCTCTAAAATACGGGATATCATAAGATTTCAAATCAAATACGCGGCTTAATAGTCTCTACGGGACGGACCAAGTCACAATTCTTACCGGTGCACGCCCACACGCTCGTCACCTAGCATGTGCGTCACATCATTTATCAAAACAATACGAAATACCGGGGTTTCATACCCTCAGGTCTAGATTTATAATGGTTACTTACCTCGAACCGGATGAAGTACTACTCCGCGACGCCCTTGCCTCTCGACTCGGCATCAACTCGCGTCGAATCTATCCAAAATCAAAAT